GCTCAGCCAGTGAGCGGCCGGTCTGTATGTGGGATCCGAACCCTCGGCGGGAGCGCCGCTGCGCTCCCAAGTGGCGAACTGTAGCAGTGCGCCAACGGGCCGGCCCAGAAAGGCACTTTTGAAATGTATGCAGTTACTATCATAGTCACAGCTGTTTTTAAACTCTGGCTAAAATATGTAGGATGTATGTCATATTTCTGTATTGATTACTATTGATTTGTTGATCAGCCAGGTGATCTCCTGGATTTGTGTTTATGTGTATGGTATGTAGATACTGTTATTACAATGATGAACAAATTAGACAAAGGTGTCTGTTCTCTTAACAGTCCAGTGGGAAAGAAAGTGGCTTCAAAATTGTCATATTCCTAGAAGAAACACATATTCTGCCAGGAATTTCTGCATGTTTTGTTTTGTAGTTTGTTAAATAATATACTCAGGGTTAGGGCTAGAATATCTTTAATTTCTATTTTAATTCTCCTAAGCAGCAAGGATCTAAAGAAGTTATTTGTCCTCTGCCATATAGCTTATGGTCAAATTGGGATTCACATTGAGGCTTTCTGATTCCAGAACCTTCACCACTATGCTGTATAATTTATGATCTTACCATGATGATAAATCAAAGAAAATATAAATAGGAATGGAAGTAAATGTAACTTTCCGGTTAGAGGGAGTTTTAAAATTAAGGCAAATCAGTCAAGAACCCCTTCTTCCAGTAGTGCACCAGCTGATATTCTTTTTGGGTTTTTTTGTTTTTTTGTTTTGAGACATTACATAGTTTTACTATTACTTTTTAAATCTTAAGTATATATGGGGTGGTATGTTAAATTCACAGACTAAACCAGGGTAAGATTATGTCCTGTTGATAAGTGGCTTGAGTCAGGATTTTCGCTAGAGCAAATGAAAATCTATTTATTAAATACGTTAACATGTGCTGCCGGACTCTGTGGGGTACAGTGAAGTACCATCCTACATAAGATTTAGGTTTTAAAGGCATAGCAAGACGAATTGCATGGAGTTAAAATTCCCTTTGAAAATCCCCACTTCTCACAACCTCTGCCTCTATCACCCTGATCCAAGCCACCAACTGTTTTTTGCCTGGATTATAGAAATGTCTCCTAACAGGTCTTTCTGCCTCTGCACTTACTCTCCTATTGCTAGTTCTCTCCACAGCAGCCAGAATGATCTTTTAAAAATATAAATCAGAACACTTCCCTCCTCTGTTCAATACCTTTCACTGGTTCCCCATCTCAGAGTTAAAAGCCAATCTCCACATCGCCTGCAAAGGCCGATGTGATCCAGACCTCACTCTTTGACTTCCTCTCTCACTGCTCTTTAATGTGGCCCTTGAAATACTTTACTTTCTCTTCCCTTTTGTTGCTTCAGGTAAGCTCTCACCTCAGGGACTTTGCTCTTGCTGTTTCTTCTGCCTTGAAGATTCTTCGTCTAATGTCTTGTATCCTTACCTCCTTTGGGATGTCATTGCAATGAAACCTTCACAAAGAACACTTTTAGAACAATTGACTCGTCTTAATCTTTACTTAGTCAAGTGAATTTAAAAGCAATTTTTTTTCCCCCCAGTGGCTGTCCGGTACAGGTGTTGAACCCTGGACCTTGGTGTTATCAGCACCATGCTGTAACCAACTGAGGTAACCTGCCAGGCCCAAAGCACATATTTTAAGATAGTTAAGGAAATTGGTACAGGTGTTGAACCCTGGACCTTGGTGTTATCAGCACCATACTGTAACCAACTGAGGTAACCTGCCAGGCCCAAAGCACATATTTTAAGATAGTTAAGGAAATTGTGAGAAGAAAGTTTAACCATGTTTTCTTCACCCCAACATAGCTTATTTATCTCTTAGTTTCCCTTACTACTTTTACTTAGAGGTAATAATAATATATATATTTTTTCACAGTAGATTTTGAATTGTTACTACCTCTGTTCATAAGAGCTCTAAGAATAACAAAAAAGTCATCAAAATCTATCTTTTATTGATTCTGACTGGTGGTATCATCTTCATAAAAAGAAAGTGAGGTCATTTAAAAAATGTTTTTAAAACTTTTTCAGATGGAACATCTTTTTTAGTTATGGTGTAAGTTTTTCTTTAGGCCTGTTGTAAAATAAATTACAACTAAGTTAGTCAGTATTCTGTAGGAGCAAACACTTAAAATTTTTGTCTGCTAACCCCTCTACCTTCTAGCTCTCTTTCAATTAGTAATTTTCAGTTTAAGTTGAAGCACCACAGTAACAACATAAGGAAGTTTATATTACGACTGCCACTATTTGGTTGGTGTTTCAGATAAGATGTATATTGTTCACTGGTGTAATTTAAAGTATTACTTAAATGCTACACTTTGAAGTAGGAGACAAGATCTAGTAGTCTTGTAGTGGGTGTTTTAAAATGTTTATATGAATATAGTTGATTAAGTCTTAATTTAGCATGTGATAAGAGGTAGTTTCACATGTTAAGGTTAAAATGAAATGTGTTTGTATGATTTTTTTTTTTTAGGAGATCATGAATCAGGCAGATAAAAATCAACAAGAAATCCCATCATACCTTAGTGATGAACCACCAGAAGGTAAGTATGCATCTATAACACTAAGAATAGAAAAAATATCCTTGTGAATTAAAGCTCTGATTGTTTTTATCAAATTTAAAGAAACATAAACTGTGTACCTTGTCAGTAAATATGTTCCAAAAATAATTGAAGGTAGACATTTTAAGCCTTGAATAAGAAAGCACAGTGTCTTAGTCCATTTTCTGTTGCTTATAACAGAATAACTCTGGGTAATTTATAAAGAAGTGAACTTTTTTGTTTTTACAATTCTGGAGGGAAGTCCAAGGTTGAGGAGCTGCATCTTGTGAGGGCCTTCTTGCTGGTGGAGACTCTGCAGAGTCCCAAGCTAGTGCAGGGAATCACATGGCTAGGGGGCTGAGCATGCTAGCTCAGGTCTCTCTTCCTCTTATACAGCCACCAGTCCCATTCCCGTGATAACTCATTAATCCATGAATGGATTAATCCATTTTTGAGAGTAGAGCCCTCATTACCGAGTTACCTGTTAAAGGTCGCACCTCTCGATACCATAGATTTCGCACTCTCTTAATACTATTACAATGGGGATTGAGTTTCAGCAGGAGTTTTGGAGAGGATAAACATTCAAACCATTGCACACAGATACTGGTGAACCGGCACACGATTTATCATATAAGGTCTATTTTCCTGTCACTCTTTTATTCACAAGTAAGAGTATATCCTTTCATTTTTAAAGGGTAGGGTGGGATAAAGGATGGACAGAGGAAGGATGGACTATGTTTTAAGTTTTGATGTCCTGCATAAAAAAATCAACCTAATTCAAGAGGCATTTGAGATTTGTTGTTAAACTCCTATTATTCATTACATTATGATTGGTAGCTCTCTGTTCCTACATTAATACATGGTCTTGGGGTCTGCTTAATTTGTCTTTCTAAATCATAATTCTCTTTTAGTTTGAAAATTGTGACATCATGAATCATTTTATTCTTACCTTTGTTTCAAAAATCTTTGGAAACACTAACTGCACAACTAAATGCCCTGACTATGTACAGAAAATGACTGCAGGCATTTTTTATTTATGGTTTTCGTATAGACTATTACTAAACTTAATTCAAATAGTGATCTCATTGGAGAATTGCATGTTGATTGCTAGGGCTGGAAATCGTGATTCTAGGTATTGTATTTTCCTCCCAGTTCTGTTATTCACTGTTCAAAATTTTCTTCTTATATTTCTTATCTTACATTGGTAGGCAAAAATGAAATTGCTAGGAAAATAACACAACAAAAAGCTTACATTTAAGCCTAAAAGAAGATGGAGGAACTAGCTGATTAGGTTTAGTTTGTCTGATGGAAGAATGGCCTGGAAAATTATTAGTTTAGCTTTTTCCCTGCTTTATTTTTTTAGGAGTAGAACCATGGAATTTCAAAAAGAAAATTTAGGGCTCAAGAGAAAGTTAGTAAGGACTTTGTGAAAAGGAAGTAAGGAAAGGGATCAATAAAAGGTTGTCCAGGATCATGATTGTTAAGGAAGAAAACAGAGCCTCAGGAATACCTGTATATGCTATGAAACAAGAGTAATCTGCAAAGCAGATAATTTATATGGTGATAATTAAGAGTACCCTGTAAGTAAAGAGATCAACTGCATTAATATTTGTCTGATTTGATTAGGAGAAATTATCTGGTTTTATTAAATGCACGTGTATGAAATTTGGCATAGCAAGATCATTATACTAATGAGGGATTTGGCATGAAGCAGTTATCTATTTTATCTTCAAATCAGGATTTTGCCTCTTTTCCTAGTGCTGTTGACCTTGATTACAAAAGAATTACCAAATATGGAATCCTTTCCATCATACTTTTATAATTAATATATTCAAATGCTCATCTCTATCTTAAATCTTTCTTTTAGCCATTTAAAAATTTGTATTAACTTTGCTTATTAAGTTTTAATAAAAATATTTAGTTGGTTTTTATAAATTTAGCCATTGCTATATCTGTGCACTATTTTGACTAATCAATATGATTTTCCCACTTGTGATAGAATGTAAAACCTCCAAACAATGAAAAGAAAAATTATCTCAAGGTAAATCTGTATTAGTAAAATTCGACTTTGAGAATTTTTTCTTTTTCCCCATCAAATATTGTTGGTTTCTCCATGTTACTTTCTCTGATGACCTTATTCTGCAAGGATCTAGTGTCTTTGGTGGTCTTAGTTGGACCTGTGTACCTAAGAATTTACCTTTCATTGTGTTAGATTATACTTTTTCAGTGGCTAAAGCCTGAATTGTATAATTACCAAATATTTTTCCATGAAATTTAGAAAAACACCATTGTTTATGTATTGTCACCTAAATCATTAGCTTGCAAAAGAGGAAAGGCTGGCATTTATTTGAAGCTGATGCAATCAGATTTTTATGAAATCTTCCTGCGAGTCATTTTATGCCTAAGTTTGAGGTTACATTCTAATTTGTGTGGCTGTTTTAAAAAAAAAAAAAAACCAAACCAACCACAGAAAACAAACCCATGACTTAAAAGTGAATTTTTCATATTGATATTACCTTTTCTGAGGGCATCTGAAAAGTTTTTTAAAACTAGATGCTTAAGGGGCTGGCCCGGTGGCGCACTGCTACAGTGCGCCGCTTGGGAGTGCAGTGGCGCTCCCGCCGAGGGTTCGGATCCCACATACAGACCGGTTCCCGCTCACTGGCTGAGCGAGGTGCGGGCGCAACACCGAGGGTTGCGATCCCGTTGCCGGTCCCGGTCCGGCATGGGCGCGACACTGAGGGTTGCAATCCGTTGCCGGACACGAAAAAAAACAAAAAAAACTAGATGCTTAAGGGGCTGGCCCGGTGGCGCACTGCTACGGTGCGCCGCTTGGGAGTGCAGTGGCGCTCCCGCCGAGGGTTCGGATCCCACATACAGACCGGTTCCCGCTCACTGGCTGAGCGAGGTGCGGGCGCAACACCGAGGGTTGCGATCCCGTTGCCGGTCCCGGTCCGGCATGGGCGCGACACTGAGGGTTGCAATCCATTGCCGGACACGAAAAAAGACAAAAAAAAAAAACAAAAAAAACTAGATGCTTAAGACACAGACTTTCTACTATAAGAATTACTGAGGCAGTGATTTAAGCATTAATCATAGCTGTTGTTTGTCTCCCCTACTTCCATCTGAATAAAAATGATTTTAGGTAGGTAATGTGATTTTATAAATGATGAATAAAAAGCATTAACTCTTTAAATACATTATTAAGGGACACGTAGAGCAGAGACACAAATATATCTAGCAGTGATTCTGAAATTTTTTGGTTTCAGGATCTTTTTATACTCTTAAAAATTGAGATCCCAAAGGGCTTATGGCTTTGTCAATATTTACCATATTAGCAATAAAAACTGAGAAATTTGGTATTTTATTCATTAAAATAACCCAGTAGACCCATTACATGTTAACATGATTCATATAGTTTTATAGGAAGTAACTTTTCCAAAACAAAAAAAAAATTGTGAGCAGGGTGACATTGTTTATACATTTTTGCCAATCTCTTTAATGTTTTGATTAATGGAAGACAGCTAGATTCTTGCAGCTGCTTCTGCATTCAGTCTGTGGCGTTATCACACATCATCTAGCTTCTGGGAAACTCTTCAGTAGACTGAAAGTGCAAAGACAAATGACATCTTAATATTATTATCAAAATAGTTTTTACCTTGTGGACCCCCTGAAATGGTCTTGGGGAATCCCCACGAATCCCAAACTATACTTTTAGAACCATTGCTTTATTTGAAGAAGATTGTTTCAGCAATGATTGCTTGAATCATATCAAGGAAATTAAGGCTAAATATATTTTTTCATGCTCTTTTTAGGATATAAAATAAAGGTTATTTATTAACAATGAAACTGTAAATCAAGGAAGCATTTAAAATAGCATCCTATTTTATGAAATTTGTCTAGTCTCTAAAGCATTTCTTCTCATAAATACTAAGACTTAGCATTGGACCAAGATGTTGTAAAAACAGGTACATAACTATACCCTTGAGAGAAGAGCTCTTCAATGTCTTTTCACTCAGTCAGCGTGATTGGTTTTATCAAATCTACCTCCTGATTGTGAGGATGTTTTAGGTTATGTAATGATTTGTACTGCTCTTTTAAAGGCTTATTATATTTGTCTGTCTCATATTTTCTCTCATTAGGTTCAATGAAAGATCACCCACAGCAGCAACCAGGCATGTTGTCCCGTGTGACTGGGGGTATCTTCAGTGTTACAAAGGGAGCTGTTGGTGCCACCATTGGTGGTGTGGCTTGGATTGGTGGAAAGAGTCTGGAGGTGACCAAAACGGCTGTTACAACTGTGCCTTCCATGGGAATTGGGCTGGTGAAAGGGGGCGTGTCTGCTGTGGCTGGAGGTGTTACAGCTGTTGGGTCTGCTGTTGTAAACAAAGTGCCCTTAACAGGAAAGAAGAAAGACAAATCTGACTAAAATATGGAGATAATATTTGCTCTCCACAGCATTATGATGCCAGTGGCATTGAATTGCTCAATTAGGGACTACAACCAAGTCATCTGTTTTGGACATTTATCTTCTAAACTGCTGTGTTGAAAGTATTGATGACTGGCTTTCGTCTAAAAAGAAGAGACCAATACTAGCACAGTGTATGAAGGTTTCTCATACTTAAATTCCAGCTTTTTATCTGGTAAAATGTTACACTTACTCAGTTGTAACTGAAGATATGGTATGTCTTAAGTATTTAGTATGTTTTTCAGTTTGACTAAAAATGTGAAAGTTGAATCTAGTAGATGATCTTTACAGTTCCATGTATATAATGTGCCAGGTAACTCATCTGCCCCTTAAGAAGGGAACTTTGAACTACATAAACTGTACCTTTGATGTGCCTAATAGTTTCAGATGTCTTAGTTTTTTATAACCATAGTTGATTAGGCCAAGAGGCTTTCTTTTCTTATTTAAGCTGGCAAAAGTAGCAGGAATTAGAGAAATTTAAAAGAAAAGATAAATGGTTTTATGATACTGTTAACCATATTTTGTTAGAAATGCATTTTCTTCATTGAATCATTGATGCCTTACAAAAGAAAACATCTTTTCTAATACCCTAAATATGTGCAGTTTTTAGAATTATCTATGGATTCTTTTAAAGGTTGTTTGTGAAATTAGTTTTCCCTCTTAAGAATCTCAGAAGTAGTGGGGTAAAAGCATTTCTTGATGACAGCAGATAAGATAGTGTTTGTTAACTGTCTTGTTAGTAGTTAAAATTGAATTGTACACTTCAGCTTGGGTTCATGCTCCATCATTAATACACCTCACAGTGCCTAAGGAACATTTCTTTACTGGTCACAAGGTCTATTGGAAGAGTTGCATATTAAGGAGGAAGAAATAATTTTAAGTTCCTAAGAATTACCTGAAGCATTCAACATATAAAAAGAATCCTTCACACTTATTCTGTCTGTATGTGTCTTAAGTTATTAGCAGTATCCCTTCTTAAAAACATGGTAAAAGCAACCACAAGTGTATGAGGACTGACTTTTAAATTGAATGAAATGGGCACCATAGATTGGTTTTGAATATAAAATGTAGTGTTTTGAGTGGTTTATATAGGCTTTTAAAATGTTATCTTACAGTCCTTTAAAGTAGACTTTGTACCATTTTTTAAGCCCATTTCAGGCAGAAAATTGAAGTTTTTGATTATGTATAAGTATGTTATGTCTTTATTAACATGTCCCATCATGTCTCATTCATTTTCAAAGAATATGACTTAGCTGGAATTCATTATTTTTTTTGTTTCATGTTAAGTTTCATAAAAATTTTAACCACCAGCATATATGTTTGTTTGGCATTCCTCTTAACTAGGGGTTATAATCCAAGCCTGAAAAATCTTAAATTTCTTTATACCTAAGTTTAGAAATTTGTCTCCATTCTGCTGACTTTTATTTTTTGTAGTGGAGGGAAGGAAAGGCGGTGATACCCTAAAGTAAGTCAAACTAGCATCCCAGAGAACTTGAAACAGGTCACTATAACACCCAAGGCTTAAATGTTTGTTTGTAAACCACTAAGAGTATTACATGGATAATGTGGGTCAACAAATGGATAAGAATATAACAACTTTTAAAAGCTTTCATAAATATCAGCAGGGATTTTAAGCAAATCTCCAAAGGTTCTTGAACCTTTGTACTGCATACAAACTGAAAAGTCAATAAAGAGTTCAGTTCATCAGTTATTAAATGGTTGTTTATTTCATTAAGTATTATTTAGGTGTATTTGTTGGCATATCTGGTCAGATGTGATAATTTGTAAAGGGGATTTTTTTAAACTCCAAAATTAATAGATGAAGACTAAATAATAATCTAATGGTATTGGAGAGCTTGTTTCCTGCTATTCGGAAGAAATTATTGCTTCTTTGCTAGTTTATGTTTCTAATAGGCTGTGTTGTGCTTTGTACCTGAATTTCTAAGCATAGACTTTAGTTTGCTGTTTGCTTGCATATTTATTTTTAACTTTGTCTTTAAAACTGCTTGAGGAAAAATGGTTGTAGTTAATTTCTGCTGCAGTAAAGCCATCTGGTACATTTTATCTCATCAAGATAGTTTTCAGTTCTAAACTATAACTTTGTTCAGGGGGGCTTTTGCAATGATAGCAGAGAACTGTACAAATGTACAGTTAGATATAGAGGTTTTTGTTGAAATGGACTTGCCATATGATGATATGTACAGCTGTATCCTTGAGTCTTTTCCAGTTTATTTACGTAGACTAGCAATTTGACCTGTTAAACAGGACTAGTTCACGTCAAGAAACTAAGGTTGTTGAGTGCACCTGGAGGCATCTGTTATTATTCAACTTATCTTTTGAGTGGGTATTTGGCACAATGAGGATAAACTTGTATAACCCACTTGAGGGACTTGATGTAATAATGTTGACATGAATCCTGTACTTAGTGAAATGTCAGATGAAAATAACCGATGATTGAATAATTTTTTGTATTAAAGGGATGGGAAAAGAACACATGAATCTGTTAATAAAGCACTATGATCTGCAAAAGATGGAATGTTTCATAAAGATCTGAAGAAATAAAGGAAATTTTAAAACAGGGTGATCTTAAAATTTTTAGTTACACAGCAGTTCAGAAACTGTGCTGTAGTCAATTTTTAAATTTTTTTGATAGTAATGTACAGACATGTCCCTGAATATGTATTTTGATGCCAGCACAGCAGTGAAATACAAACATATTTTAAACTCTAATACAGATTTAAAATGCAGATTTCTAGGTTTTACCCCATCTTGCCAAGGTTCTGGGGCCCAGGACTGCATTTTAACAACTTCTACAGGTTATTCTTGTGCACACTAAGGTTTGAAAACTAATGGAGGAATTATAAAGTAGGGAGCACTTCTTTCTGTTCTGAACAGGTGTGGAACCACTTAGTCTTCTCATGGGACACAAATGATGAAAAGGGATAGGAAAGAGAAAAAAACTGATATTTAGAAAATTATTATTTACTGGGCATCTGCCTCCTTGACAGATACTATCCATACCTTATCAAATTTAGTCAGCATGAGGCCCTTATGAGGGAAATATTTTTATTCCCACTTTACAAATACAAAACAGGCTAACTTTCAGTGTCAGTTGAATTCCCTATATCACTTTCGAATTAGTGCAGTCACAACTTCTCCAGAAACAGAAATGGGGCTACTCAATAACTAGTTCTTCATTCTGGTGTTGACGTTCAGTGTAGCCTGTAGGCTTGATTTTCCAGGCTATCTAGTCTGCAACTCACTGAAAGTCTTCCAGATGGTCATATTTACTTTGTCGACTAATTACACTTTGCTATAGAAATGAATTGTGTAATTATACACCAGTTGTCTGAAGAAAATTAATTTTTTTTTTCCTTTTTGTCTCTTTAATTTTGTTATTAGAGCCTTTTTCATAGAGGAAATAAAATTTGATTCTAGTGTTTTATGTAAGGATATCTCCCCTTGCTATGTTGTTGATTTTTGAATTTTTAAAATTCTGTTTCATAGGGAGATCTGAGTGAGATTATAAGAATGGAAAAAAGCAAAGCAAAACTATTTCATAGGCTCAAGGGCCAAAAACAGTGGAATGGGATTTGGCGTAAGGAAAAGTCAAGTCAGTATACTGCAGGATTGACTACGAACGTGGATCTTTTTAATGTAATCTTTTCAAGTTAAAGCAATCTACAAATATATTTCTATAACCGTAACTGCCTGTGGTTCTCTCTGCCTGGAGCTGAGCACCTGAATTTGGCTGCTGTACTTAGTTTCTTTTTAAATTAATGGCCATAAACATGGCCACTCAACTCTGCCAAACTGTCTTGTACACCCTCGTTTGATGTTCACTTTCCCACTCCTCAAGATGACTATCTAATGTCTCCTCTTTTAACCCTCCTACACAATTCCTCCTTCCCATTTTACTGGCCTCTGTAAAAAGAGACCACCAGACAGTGGCTCTCCTGCCTCTCACAACCTTCTGTGTTCCATCAACCTGCCTGCATTTCTTCCTACACTGAGTGGACCAGACCAGCATTTCTGCTCTTACCCAAAGTCAACCCACCTTCACTTCCTCAAGTACATTAATCCCACAGTTTTTCCATCTCTTACCTGTCTCTCCTGGGTCATACCCATCAGCATATAAACATTTTTTTTTTTTTTTGGCTGGCTGGTACGGGGATCAAACACTGGACCTTGGTATTATCAACACCACACCCTAACCAACTAAGCTAACTGGCCAGCCTTGTTTATTAAACAAAAATGACTCAACTTCACAACCTCAATTTTTCTGATTCCCTTCACAGAAAAATTTCTTGAAAAACTTTATAGTTCCTGCCTCTTCCTTATCCCCCATTCTCTTTCTTTTTTTTTTTTTTTTTTTTTTGTCTTTTTTACTGACCGGTAACGGGATCACAACCCTCGGTGTCGTGCCCGTACCGGGGACCGGCAACGGGATCGCAACCCTTGGTGTTGCGCACGCACCGCGCTCAGCCAGTGAGCGGGAACCGGTCTCCACATGGGATCCGAACCCTTGGTGGGAGTGCTGCTGCGCTCCCAAGCGGCGCAGTCTCCAGTGCGCCACCGGGCCGGCCCCTCCCATTCTCTTTCAACCCACTCCAGTTGGCCTTCTCACCTTCCTCCTCTTTATACCAGAATCACTTGTAATAGGATCAACCAGTGATTTCCTTTTTACCAAATCCATCCGTCATTTCTCTGTATCTCACTTGACCTCTCAGTAATACTGACTACATACTTTCTTCCTTTAAGCAACTTCTTTCTCTGATCAACCTTTTCCAGGTGTGGCCAGCCACCATATTCCAAATCTACACTCTATTCCAGGCAATCTCGTCTAGAGCCATGGCTTTAAATACCACAGACATGCAGATGACCCCCAAAGATATATTTCCAGTCCTTATTTCTCACTACCCCAGACTTAGCCATTTGCCTGTTTGACATCCCTACTAGAATGTCTAGTAGGCATGTCAAAGTTAACATCTAACTACCTAGGTGACCATGTAATGTATAGTGTGTTCCAAACAGACATTCTAGACTGAAAGGGAGAGACCAACATTGATAACTTGTTAGGACAAGAAGCATAAACTAAAAACTCCCCAAGGGTTCCCCCTCTTACTTAGAATGAGATCTTGCTCCTTAGTTAGACCTGTGATGCTTATGTCATCTGTGTCACTCTGCCCATCACTCAACCCTGCTCCAGAGTACTGCTATTCTTTTTCTTGAACAAACATTCCTGTTATGAAGGTGGGTAAATGACTTACCGAGTCTCCTCATCTGTAGAACAGTAAACAAAGGTACTTAACTCTTACGATGGTAAAACACTTATGATGAACCTGGCACTTAGTAGGTGCCACAGATAATGCCATCTCTTATGATCCTAAAGAAATGAACAGATTTGGATAGTGAGGGTAACATGCCTTTGCTGAACAAATGGATAGAGAGAGGACATTGCCTGCATTTTTCACAATTTTTCATTATTCTTTAAAGGCCATGCATACATTGTGCACGGATGTTCAGTGATAAGAGTTAATTGTTTGGTTATGGATTTGTTACAGAGTTCAGACTTCACAGTTGAAAGTGAGCCAGTCTTTATCTGAGTAATGTTTATCTTGAAACAATTAGAAATGGAAACTTGAAACACTACCACTAAAATTTGTACCAACCATCACACACTTTCCCTTATAGGCAGACCTGGATTTCCAGAAAGCTTTCTAAAAAGCAGCACTTATTTCAAATGTATATAAGTTGGATAATTTCAAATTAAGAAACTTTAAAGAGAAGATTTCATAAAGGCCCCCAGATTTTTTGTTAGTACTCATTCCTTTTGGCATGTCACGTAGGGGTGATTTCTCTTATGCCAACTCATGAATAATCCTTTTCACTCACAAGATTTGAACAGAAACCAGATCTTAATAAATCTGGGCTCTGCCACTTGGCAGCTGAGTTGCATCTCTAAGCTTTGGTTTCTTCATCTGTAAAATGAAGAAAGTAATGAATGCACATAAGTTTTATGAAAGATACAATGTGTTTAAAACTGACCACATAAGTAGGCTATAACTATTCTTTTTGGATGAGTAAACATTGGTTCTTGAAGACATTTACTCCAAACACAAGATGAAATTAGTTTTCTCAAAAAAAATAGTTTGCTAATGTTCCACTTAACACTAAGCTATGGAACTCCAGCCACAGTAGAGTGATGTTTCAGGGTTGGTAAGAATATTAGATTTGCATTCTAGATGAAATATGCTATGTGAATAAAAATGTAACCATACCTTGAATTAATGGAGTGTACTTGTCAGTTTCTTAGCAATGATTCATTTATGAAATATCACACTGATGTGCCATTTAATAGAGCATGACTTTTTGAAATAATAGTTCAAGGTCAAAGTTACCAACTTTATTTAAAATAAATGCAATTTATATTTGAAAGTATAGCAAATGAGTAAGAGATTATCTAGAGGTAACTTAAACACAACTCAGAAACTAAGTATGTCCTTAAAATTACTAGCACCTATAAACCTGCCAGAATTGTTGAAGTCTTTGCTAATCAGTTTCACTCTGCACTGCTAGAAAGCACCATCAGTCAGTAAGTCACTCTTCAACATTTAATGGTGCTACCGGGTTAAATAACGGCCTTCCTTTTTTGGCTTGAATTTTACCAAAGTTTGCCTCAAACTCTTTTTTTGTTCCGTTTAGATTTGCGAGATGTCCATCCTTTATTCTATAGCCTAAGGAATTCAGTTTCCTTATCCTGTACTGTGCTATCTGTGGCGTTAATTCAAGAACCATTGGCATCTCTTTTATCTGAGCTATGGAAATTCCTTCTTTCAATAGTCCCTGAATTCTCTCTTCTAAAACTGGAACAGAATAATATAAAAGGGCAGGACATTTCAAAACTAATTGCTTCAGGTCATGATCTGTGCATTTAAAAGCATTTTTAGAGAAGGAAATGCTGTTCTGTATATTTCTTAGGCAAAGCTGAAAAAGAAATCCTTTGAGTTTGGACAGAAGTTGGAGAATTTCAAAGTTTGTGAAACCTTGCTCCTGGAGAAATTCTAGTGTTTCCTTTACAGCTGCAGGAGAATTTAACAAGATAAATGGGTTTTGGCTTAATAATTTTAGTAGCCAAACTTTCATGTTGGCCTCAGAGCCACCTAAATTTAGATAACTCTCCTGGAGAATCGTTATCATTTGCTTATTCTTCTCAACAGGATTGTGAAAAATATTAGATGCAGTTGTCAGAAATCTGCCAATGACCACATTCTTGAGTCCCAACTCTTGAAAGAACTGAACATTCAGCTTCCGGTTCTCCTGGTCTTTAACAGTAAAGAAAGATTCTGGAAACTGTTCTATTAACTTGATTAATTCTTCCTCATTTTTGCAGACTGACTGCCATAGTTTTCTCTGAGTGTTAACAGCAGTTGGACTACAGACAATTGCTTCTGGGCAGCGTTCCAAAATACTGGCTATGGCAGTTTCATTGGCACCTAGTTCTTGTAAAATATTTGCAATTTCTTCAATGTAGGTTTCATCCTCCAAAAGCACCCATCCTTTTAATCTACGAATCTTCCTAATGTCAACTGAAAATTTATAGAGCTTTTCCACTGTTCTTTTATTTTCTTTGTTTGATTGTCTACCAGTTGTATAGGTGAAGCATGCTAAAAAGGGTCTGTATTTTTGAGTTGATAGCATCTTTCTGAAAGAACACAGCCTGCAGGGCTGGGATCTCATCAGCAACTTCCACAACATGCCTGCAATCCAGTGGCTAATTCCCACCGTCCTGGGACTCAGAATGTACTCATTCTACCTGTAAGGAAGAAATTAAAGGTTTTTAATATAAGGGTTGTTGGCTTTTAGAACATATACAGTTACAGATTTGATCTGTAAGTAGTAAGTATGGAAATAATGTAAATTAAATTAGAAAGGAAAAGTCATGGGAATATTAGAAATATCCTGTTAAACAATTTTTTGAGGTAATTGTAATATACCTCTTCACAATTCAGACATCTTATAATTGATAAATACATTACGTATTTGAGCTTTGCAAGAGCCTTGTGAAGCAGTTACTTCCATTTTACATATCAGTAGCAAGACCACAAAGAGGTCCAAAGGTTCATAGACCTCAAATGTTATTCTGATACAAATTCTCTTTGCTACAACTGTTATGCTTCCTTTTAGGAGACATATATCACACACACACACACAGGGTTTTAAATGTTTTACATTTTCAAGTTGATGTCTAGCTAAAGCAGATAAGATATCAAGAGGGGGAGGTCATTTCTAATTTTATATTCTTGGGTAAATATTTTTGCTGAATGACTATAATCCAAAGTGGGTTGGTTAATTTATTTTAAATGAGTTAATAAACGTATGTTTTATTATAATTATAATTATGTGAATGAAACTCCTTTTTATAAATCCAGAATTAAAACAAGTCTTAGGCAGGTAAAATGTGAAATGCCACATGATTGCCCAGTGTAGTCATGGAAAATCTGGTCAGCTGTAGAATGGTGACCATACTTATGAAACAGTCTAATCAGCAGTCCCCACTTGAGATCTCTAGGTATCACGAGACGGCTATCCTGTGTCTGATGCGTGATAGCCTTTGCTGTTGTAAGGGCGGGAAAACACCTAGCGCTGGGCCTGAGAACATAAGATAGAGTAACAGAAGAAAAGCATACATTTATTTAATACAAGTTTTACATGGCAAGGGAGCCCCCATAAGGAAATGAAGACCCAAAGAAGCAGTTAAAGTCATTTACTTACATACTCAATTGGACAAAAAATAGTAAGTTATGAAGAAGCAACTAAGTACATTTATTTAATACAAGTTTTACATGGCAAGGGAGCCCCCATAAGGAAATGAAGACCCAAAGAAGCAGTTAAAAGTCATTTACTTACATACTCAATTGGACAAAAAATAGTAAGTTATGAAGAAGCAACTAAGTTCTTTGGGGAAAAAGGAGTTACTTTAACAAAGTCTGTACAGACTTATTTTCAACCCCTCTGGCCTGAGAACTCTGGAGCCCGTCTTTTTCACATATTCTGTCCTTCAGCTGATCCTCCTCTGATGCTCCACTCTTCACATCCAGAGCTTTTCCTCTCACTGCCCCTCTGGCTAAAACCCCCTCTTTCCCTTCCCCTCAGCTAATCCTTACAGAGCCTTTTCTCCATTTCCTCTCCTCTGACTTACATAGCTTCCAATAATGACAACTTCCACGTGGTTAGACCTGCCTCTTTTGCCTTCTGTAGCTTTCAGCACAGCTGACCACTTTCTCTTTGAAATGTTCTCTTACTTGACTTCCAGGACATTCCACTGTCCCAGTTCTCTTTCTTCCTACCTAAACTTCTGGCCATTCTCTGTTTCTTCCCAGGCTCATCTTCAAGGCTTGGTCTAGACCTTCTCCTCTTCTTACCTTACAGTCTCCCTCCAGGGATCTTGTCTTCGTCCAGGGCTTCAGTTAATCCACTTGGGCTGTCTCCAGCTTCTTCTCAAACTGTGATCTTACCATTTCCCTGCAATTGATGGCACTTTAGAAATGCCTTACCATGGCCTGCAAGACCTCGTCGGGCTCTGCCACCACCCGAACCCCCCTCCTCCACCAGCTGCACCTGATTCCTTTTACCCATCCCAACCACATGATGTTTGAAGACTGTGGGATATTCTCCATGCCCAAAATGTCCCTAACTCCTAGGTCAAAGTGTCACTTTCTCAAGAAAACTCCGACCTTCGTGAACAGACGAAGCCTCCTGTCCCCATTACAGGCTTTCATGGTACTGTGGCCTGCTACTCGGTACCACTTACCACAGCTGCAGCTGTTCATGTGTTGCTTCTGTTTCAACACTTCCCAAGGGCACACTGTTCACCACTGTGTTCCAATGAATTGCTTCCCTACCCTTCACCCAGGCGGAATACTCTAGAGGCATTCCTGGGCAGGTGACCCCCATGTGTGCTCTTCCACACCCTGCCCTTGACCCTACTGTAGCACATATCATACTCTCTTAAGTTCTTCGTTCAACCAGTGGGGTTTTTGTTATTTTGTTTTTCAAGTTCAAGCTGTGTATAAGGTATTATGCTAGGCACTAGCTCTTCTGCTAAAACAACACTTCTTTGTACCTTTCTTTGGATAACAGACCATCTGAGATCAGAACCTGAGAGACACAGACTCTCTTTCCAGATAAAAAAGACCCATACCCACAACATTCTGCACAAAATTTGAGCAGGATTCACGGACACCTTGTAGCCCAGCCACTAACAACTTGTTCTAGATTTACAAGTGCTGGAAGGGCAGAGACTGAATGCTGTTCTGCATTATCCCCTGTAGGACCAGCTACCGCTCGCCCGTAGCCAATCAGGGCTCAGGAGACCGGAGAGTAAGCAGACACGCCCCCGCAGCCCCAAGCAGCCCCAAGCAGCCAATCAGAGGGGGGGACACAGGCTACGAGCCCCTCCCCTCGTCGCGCAGGCGGGCCCGCGTGGGAATCAGCTTTTCCGGGAACAGCACCTGCAACTTGCAGTGATCGCATCGGGAATTTTCACACCCTCTCCTGCCCAGCATTTTAGGAAACTTGGACTTCCGGTCGCTTCGACCCTTAAGAGAGTGTCACTAGCCCGTAAGAAAAACGACAGAAATAGCTTAGAAACCGCTATATCTTTAAAATAGAGCAATTCAGAATTTCCAAAATAGTAAGTAAAGAACCAATGTACAAATGTTTTAAAAAACCCAAAACTTCTTTGGAACACATGTAACCTCCTCCACGCTCCCACCCTACCCCAGCAGTTAGCGACCGTGTCTGACTGGTCTTTAAAAGCCATCCTCTCCCCTTTCCCCACCCCCTTCGCCTAAATAACTCCCCTTTTGCTGATAAACTGCCAAGTGCCTTACATTCTAATTATTATCTGTGATGCACAACCTCATAAACTAAATAAATTCGTATCTCCTTAAATACAGGTTCAATGTCTCGTTTATTCTCATTTATCCATCCAATTAACATATTTATGGCATGCCTATTATTAAGTGGCAGGTATATGTAACAGCAATGAGAAGCGGTGGTGAAGACAATGGGGACTAAAATACATTCCTTGTCCTCAAGGAGCTTACATTCTATTGGAGGACAAAGTCCTAACAACTAATAACATGATTAATCACAAATAGAGTTAAATGTTACCAAGGCAGGGTACTCTGACCCTGGCCTAGTTGTCGTGTGGAGTTGGAATCAGGAAAGCTGTGGTTTTCCCAGGCTGTGGTCCCTCCTATCATGTGTTTACAGCACACTGCAGTCCTAACACGGCCTTCATTCACAGCACTGTAATCCTTCCAGGCCGCCCTCTCACCTTGTGAACTCCTTGAGGATACTGATTATTTTTCTGTGAACAATGCTTGGCACACAGTATGTACATGGGAAATGTTAACCAAATTTTCGGGTCTCGCCTTAGTATGCAGTTTATGCTCAACAGGATTTATTGGGAAGGACTTGCACTTAACTCTACAGAACAGCAGCAAGAATCCTGGCTCCTCGTCTCAAAATCAACTCTGATCTCTAGGATATTCTAGAATTAACTGAGCAGTTAATGTATATGGGCAAGGATTGCTTGTTCACATCCCTTCTCCCTCTGAGTAACCCTTATAAAAGCTCTTATTATTCACGGATTTATTGCGCACTTTTTCCTGAAATACAAGGATTTGGGGTCCAGACTAACTAAAGTGTATTACTCGCATTTAGGAAGAGGGAATTAGAGTAGGATACAAAACAGAGAAGGGAGTTAAGGAATGTAAACTCAAGACTTAGAACTGCATGCCCTGGTCAGGAGGGAGGGAGCAGAAATGTGCACCAGGGTGCTGGAAGCTTATACTAGTGCTCCACATAATTATGGGAGGAATGACAATACCCTGAATACCCTGTGCCTTGTAATCAAAACTTGAAACTGACCAACTTAGCTATGCCAACTGCATTAAATAAATGATACCCAAAGTTTTTCCATCCCAAATATTTAAACTGTGCATTTCAGGAAAAAAAAAAAAAAAAAAAAAAAAAAAAACCATGGATGGAGAAATAAAAGAAAGAACCTACCATTATGGGTATTATTTACAAGAAAATCACAAACATGTTTGAATTGTGGGAAGATCCTGAAGTTTCCAGTATGCAAGAGGTGCATTAAAAACTATAATGGTATTGTTCTCTTATATCTCAAATTTACTAATTTGTTTTAAGCAAATGTGAAGAATGTAAGGACTTTGTATGGGTTCATTCAAAAGCTGGGTGCCGTCAACTCAATTCTTCCAAGTTGTCAGCAGTTTTTGGTAATAAGAATCCAAGAAGTATTTGCTGAATGGATGAAAGGTCTTAAATCCCTCAACCACCAGTAGTACTTCTAGAAAATTAACACTTCTAGTTGGGAAGAGAACACTGCATCCAAACACAGTGCATCTGCTCAAGTGCAGCACCTTGGTTGACACTTTCTTTTCCCTTTCAGTGATTCATTTTGGCCACCATTTAGACCAAACTGAAAAACTTTCCGTCCAAAACCCCTAAATAACGATTCACCCTACATTAATAAGTAATATACTAGTGCCTATGCTAAAATAGTGGTTTTTTACTAAAATGCTTATTTATTCAAATTAAAACAATATTTTCTTTCTTGGATGGTGATGGTAAATACCAAGCCTATGAATTTCTAAACTCTGCACAGTATAATCAAGTCCAAAGAGTAGGATGTGAAGTACAGTATTATGAAAAATAATTAAAAATTACTTTTTAGCACTCGTGCAAAAAGAAAGATAAAGCACAGGATTTCTTCTTTTTTCAGTAATGGCATTTATTGATTATCGTTAATTCGTTATCCAGTATATTTAAAAAATTCATATCCTCTAAAAATGTTATTGTTTTTGCATTTTAACTCAAATTTATCTTCAGTTACCCTTAAATACAATTATCATACTGAGTATCTATCAGTACTGAAGATAGGAAAATAAAAAGCCACTGGTAATAATTCAGAATGGCAAGAACTAGCCTACTAGAGAACAATAGTAGTGACAATGGCAGTTGTGGCATACAGCTAACCAGAGCTGTGGCATACAGCTAATATACAGCACTGTGCACTGTACAGTCTAGGGAGCTACACAGCACGACAGCCCTGCAGATAACATTTATTGAGTACCCTACCACATATGCCAGGCATTGTTACGAGCAATCTTACATGGAACTGGACTATGAAGCAGATACTACTCTCACTCCTGTTTCACAGATGAGAAAAAAGAAGGCATACAGGTTAAGGACCTGCCTGCCCATGATCTCAAAGCTAATAAGTGGCAGAGCCAGGAATTTGACTGCAGGGCCCATACTCTTAACTGTTATCCCATACCACTGACTCATAGTTACAAGCCCCATTACTTTAAAAAAATCCCTTTGGGTTTAAATCTTTCTGGCAGGTAATTTTGAAAAATACTGTTTTACTAAATATTTGGTATGTGTTCCTGCATTCAAAAAAAAAAAAAAAATGGTGACATGTGGTTTACAGAATCTGTCTCTGTAATTTGTAATTGTATCTCACTTTAGCAATGTTCTTCCCCTTACCAAAAACAAAACAAAACAAACAAAAAAACACCACCAAGTACACAAGATTACATATTTGCATATACTTTAATAACAAAGTCACTTTAGTTGAAACTGAACAAAGAAAGGGAGACAAGGAGAACTTTACACATGATACTTCCACAAGCTTGGGTCAAACAGGCACACATAAAGCTTCAAAACATGTACTGTCTGTGTTAACAGAGTCAACCACCAACAATTTTGATTTTGCACATTTTAAAACATTATCAAAGAGTGCAAAGTTAGATCAAACAATGTCAAGAAAAATTTGTCCTAAAATTTTAACAAAGTCTTTTAAGAAAGTCTAAAAACCTTCTATTTTCCCACATTGACTCCCAAAACTTTAAGTTTCATATCAGAATATCAGTTCGCAACTTTAACTTTTACCATACATGAAAAATTATCAAAAATATATTGATGGGTCTATTCTAATTGTGACTATACTTACATTAAGCAAATTCTTTTACCAAGTTCTTTATATACAAATTACCATTTGTCCTATGTGAAATTCATTAAAAAGTTAAAAACCATAGAAATGTCACTAGAAACAATGCATTTCAAAATGTAACTGTTTTCCATCAATGAAGAACATTTTTAAATAATTGAAAGGTATTGGACTCCCCACCAATTTCAGCTGCAACAGTATTCCTCCTGAATGTTTTCTGTGATTTAAGGGGAAAAAAAAAAACAAAAAAAACACAACGGGTAAAGTTTGATTGCAAAGAATTAAATAATAAAAATGTGATGAGCGTTTACTGATCTTCAGGATATTTACAGTCTAATTAGGTTGGCATATAAAGCTTTAAAAACTGGCAAATACACTGTGTAAATACTTTTCATAATAATTTAAATCACAAAATTAAAATTAAATTGCATGGCTTTTTGAGATTCTAAAAAGGGCCAGCATTAAAAAAATTTTAAACTATTCCT